TGTCTAGAAAATAGTTAGACAATTTCGGAGGTGCACGTCAGTCGACGCAGATGCTCTGTGTTGATGACAGATGATTTGACGCATGACCATAAATTTTATAGAGAGTCATACAATTTTAACACACATAGATCCTTATTTTACATTTTGTTGATATTGTTAAATCACAATATTGATGTAGAACAGGGGCTCAATACGTCTATCGCGATCTACCAGTCGATCGCCAAGGTCGTGTGGGTAGATCGCCGTGTCTCGTCTCGGACTCGCGTTTGGACTCGGTCTTGTCCCTCACTCAAGGTCTGACACTCAACAACAACATTTCATAACGGCCGCTGCTGTTGGCAATAAACTTGTAGCGGGTGCAGGAGCGTGTGGGGCGTCTCAGTGCAGCCTGTGCGCTCATTTGAAACCTGCGGAGACTCTACGGCGCATCACAAACACACACGCTCCCTATGCACGGCTCGTCTGCGACAGCGTGTGCCCTCGTGTACCAGCGTGCATCACAGGGCAGGTTCAACTTCCTAAACATCCTACCTGTCCATCTGCCTCACGTCAGCACGCCGCCCCTCGCCTTTTCACGCTCTCGCTCCTTCCTGCGTACAGCGAACACAAGCCCCTCCCACAGTGCGCTGATTAGAAGAGCAAGACCAAACGTGAAGCAAAAATTAGTCTAAATTTGTGTTACAGTGTTGGCACAAAGCAGGTCTACAGCATAGAGCGGATCTACAGAACAGAACTACTGCCACATTTGACTGAAATTCGCCTAACAAAAGTGCACAAATGCATCTGTGTTTGTCACGATGTGCGTTTGGTTTGGTAAACGTGCAGAGGCTGGTAAATATCACTGCAAAACCAGAAAAGAATGCAACTCCAGTTTGGAACTTTAAAAAAACAGGTTTAAAAAATCTTCCTTCACTTTTTTTCACAGTTTTGTGTAAAGTGCCAGAGGAAGTTCTCTTAAAGAAGAGGTTCTCAAACTGTGGGTGAGGGTCCAAAAAAGGGGCACAGAGTGTTTCAGTGCAGTTTGCTTGGCTTTGTATTAGGTAGATCATTATGACTTGATCATTTTGTAAGTAGCTCGCATGCTGAAAAAGTGTGAGCACCCCTGATCTAGAACAACTTAATAATACAGATCCATTGACTTCCTGTTAAAACTGCAGAACTGATGAACACTGCCTCTTTGTTGTGAAATTTCAGCCATAAAAAAACAAGCAGAGGATTTTAACTGTTTAACTGCTTTTGTTAGAAATTTCTATGTGAGAGTTTAAAACCCTATATTACCCAGAGTCTGAATATGTGGCTGGGGATACGGGATGGGGGTAGGTGAAAACTGACATTTTTTCTAAGCAGAATTACTCAAACCTGCAACTAAACTAAACAACTGTGAGTGACTTAAAGGTTGTATAGAGGATTTTCCAAGGAACGAGAAATCCAGCGACTGTTTGTCCTTTTTCAAATGTTGCGCATGCGTGAAACCACCCCCCCTCCCCTACAGCTCCTACGTAGAAACGCCTCCTCCCGCCTCCTCCTTACGCCAGAAACAGGTTTGTTTACAGCCGGTGCGCTGCACATGACTTGTAAACAACTAACTACAGTGTTGGTTAGGCAAGACGGAGAAGTGAGGAGCGGGGGGAGCGGGTGTGCGGACATTTCGTTCGCGGACGAGAAGTGAGGAGTAGGGAGAAGAGTGGAGCAGAGAGAGAGGAGAGGAGAGAGGAGCGGTGCGCGGAGATTCCGTGCCCGGAGAAGTGAGGAGCAGGGGGAAGAGCGGATCGGGCAGCGGGGACAGGAGCAGGAAAGGGGTGCAGAGAAGGTTGCGCGGAGATTCCGTGCGAATGAACTAGCTACAACACGCAGCAGCAAGCGGACTCTTTCTTTGCCTTGAAAATTACGTTTTCAGACATAGGATATCGCTTTCGTGTCCTGAAAAACGTTTGTCTAGCTCTTGGAAATAAAGTACGTTTTCATAATAAGCAGAAGTGACCTGTCCAGGAGTAATTTGGCGTCTTTAGACCCTGCGTCTGCTTCAGTCGCGCCATCGCTGGAATGAATCTATAAGAATCACCTTAGTTTGGCTTCGCTGCTTTTCCCCTTGTCTTCTTCTTTCAGCGACCTCAAAAACGGACTTTCTTTTGCGGCGAACTGCTCCTGGATTCTTGTCGCCATTGCAACAAACTTTGTGCGAACTGCGAGGAAGATATAGGTCAAAAAAAGCCGCTAAGAACTGTTGCGTTGTTGGAGTCTGTGCGTCTTGCGTCTGTGGACTGCGTGACAGTCGTACGTAAACCACGTACCGGCGGCGCGCAGGCAAGTCAGTTACGCTAGAAACGTAGGGAGATTGATTGACAGCCTGTCAGCTCACAGATAACGAGGCAGTGTCGTTATCTATTGGCAAATGTTTAGCCCCACCACGTCCAGAGTTGATGAATTTTTATTCTCTTTTTTTTGGTCATCATAATTACAAGGCTACTGCATCTCTATAATGCTATCATTGACAACTTGAAATAAAAAAAAATCCTCCATACAACCTTTAACTATGTGAGAACACCATTATACCATGATAAAAATCTCATAAAAGGTGATTTTACAGAATATGTCCTTTTAACATTCTTTTTCATTGTCCCCAAAAGAGAAAACCACCTGATACTGATGTCTTATTTAGTCTACCTTTCACTCCGGGGCCATAAGCAGTAACATAGAAGTTGATAAACGACTGGCCTGAAGGCTGTTGTCCTCCATTTTATGTCATCCCTCCATCGTTGCAACAGGTTGTGTCCTTTTAACAGCCCCCCGGTAAAGTCAGGGCTGTAATGTTTGTGGGACTCCCGATGCCTTATTTCCAATTATTATTAAAATATATGAAGCAGACACACTCACTGCTGCACTCTGGGCTGGTCCTTGAGATTTAATGAGCCAAGAACAAGCAGAGCAGAGGAGCCAGAGCTGGGAGTAAAATGGTAAATAAAGTAGCCAACAAGAGGTTTAGTAGCACAACAATGTAAACAATAATACGGCAAACTAAGTCAACATAAAGTGCTCTTAATATTTTATACGCTAACTTCTACTGCTGTAATAATAATGAACGGTTATGTTGCGTGCTTAAAATGCATTGTGTAACTTTTCTGGTTGGGGGTCCGTCAAATTTCTTTTCTTCATGGAGATGTTTTTAAATCTTTCTATCTTCATGGAGACCAAATCAGATCAATGAAAATGTCAAATGTGTCGCATAAACGAGTTTCCTTCATCTGAACAAGCAACAAAACTATTGCGGTGTAACAAAATTGAGTAATTTTGTAAAATATACCAAAAAATACAGCAGCCCACGATATCGATATTGTATCATCACATTAAGTTATGTGATTAGGGCTGGGTATCATTAAGAAGTTGCCGATACAATACATACCTCAATACCTAAGGCCACGATACATACATACATACATACATACATACATGTATCTCAATACAGTGCACTTTCTGTTAGATACAATATATTTCAAATCGAGTTTTTCAATAAAAAAACAAAGGCTTTATCATGGCTGTGGTACTAAAAGTCTTTTTTAAACCAGTTTTTGTGCAAAGTGAATAAAAAACACACCATTTAATCATCAAAACAGTGAAAATGTCAAATGTGTCACATAAAAGAGTTTCCTTCCTCTAAACAAGCAACAAAACTGTTAGCCTGATTCATCAGCCGGTTTCACTTCATGAAAACCGCCTGATCCCGCAGACTTACAATTTGTTCGCTCGATGGTAGGCAGGTACTTTTTTCATTTAACCAATCACTTATATTTGGTCATGACGTATGTAATGCGCCTCTAAGGAGGTTAACTGGAATATTAAGCTTTTCCCAAATTGTGGTGGATACCTCTGCCACCACTCCATAGTGTCAGTATTATTTAATTTTCATTATTATTTACATTAAGTTAATTACACTACACATAATTTAATTCCGTTATTTAGACTTATGTTCTAATTTGAGTGCACGCATTTTAGTTAATATAAGTCTAATTTACTTACACTTGTTGTTTTTGTTTTTTTGAGCACCGGACGGAGGACCCTGGGAGAGACCATCAGAACTCAGCAAAGGGGGGGAGCACTATTTAGTTTGTTTTACTAAGTTAATTTGTTTAGTTTGTGTTAAGGTCACATTATTATCACTTATTATTTTCTGTATTATAATTATTTGATTAAGTTATTGGTTTAGTTAGTTAATTAGTGTAATTCCTCCCTCTTGTGTTTAGCTTTAGTTGGTCCTCAGGTATTTAAACACACCTGTTCCTTTGTCTGGGGGTTAGTTTTGTTCTGTTCAGTTTGATTTTGAGTTACCCCAGTTGGGCCCAGCTTTTTTGTTAATAATTTGCCTAATTTGAGCCTTTGTTAAATTATATCTTTTTTTGGCTTTATTAAATTTAAACTTATTTTTATACCTTGTCTTTGCCTTTCCTGTTTGGTCCACTACACAAATCCTGTGGGGAAGAAGGACAATAACATCTTTCCCCTTGATAAAATTCACCAAACATTCGCTTTGTTTCGGCTTTAAATCCTCGATCTCGGGAATCGTTGCCAACACTGAATATATGACTCTTCGCTGATTGGCTGGTGCCCAGACTCGCACTTCCAGGGTTCTTGCAAACCATCTAGCGTTTTCCAATTCCTGATCTAGTCGCTGGAGAGACATGAAATTGAGCGGAGGAACTAGGTGGAGACAGCCTGACTACAAAACCGTAGCTGCAACAAAATCATTTAGTAAAATATATCAAAAACACTCTTGGCAATATATCGATACAGCAGCCCATGATATCAATACTGTATCATCACATTAAACAATACGATATATGGATATTTGAGTATTTATGCTCACCCCTACTACAGATACAATGATAAAGTCCATGGTGAAGCAGACTGGTTGAGAGTAATACATTCTACACATGCGTGACTTTGAGTGGAGGAAGTCCTAATGGAATATAATGTTAAATTCATTTACCCGCCATCTTTTCACTCACCTAAAGTCGCCCTTGTTGTTGGTGACTCGGTCGGCGGGACAATATGGCGCTGACGTTTCCAGGACGACGATCTCCATCCCTTTAGAGCTGTTACCACGGAGACTGGACACGAGACACTCCCAGGTCCCGGCCAGAGACACGTCGATGTTGGACAGGACCACCTCGCTGCAAGAAGAAGGACAGAATTTAGTTCACTACAACCTTCACGTCAAAGGATAAGGGCAAAAAGGACATTGCTTCTCTAACTACAAACTAATCAGGACCGTTGCCATGACACTTGACACTATATATTCATTTCAATATTGTGTGGAGGCTAACACAATGCAAATGTAAATACGCTACTTTTGTGTCATAATCCAAATAATTAATTAATTGATCCTTATGTCCTGTCAATCATCATATCATTGCTGCACTCTCTTCCTATGACCTCTTGTATAAGGCATTTTATTATTTATTAGGAATGTAACGATATCCAAATCTTTAGGTACGATATTATCACGATATGCATCTCACAGTATGATATTTATTGCGATATTTTGAAGAGGCTGATATAATTGTAGATATCAAGGTATTTTAAAAGCAAAAATTATAAGATTTTGGTGTGAATTATTGCCATCATAATCCCAAGAATTCAAGTAAAAACATAATTCTTCATGTTTTTTTCACTGAAATGAATCATGGGATATGTAGTTCCTGATGTTTATAAGCTGTTGCTACTATAAAATTATGCATTTAAACAAAGGAACTTGTGTTTCAAGATATTTGTGTTTGTGTTTGAATGAATAATGGAAAAAACAGATAACGGCCGTTTCCCGTTTCTATGACTTAAACTGTGATGTCGGACTTTTGCACCGCATACGGACTAAACCAGGATTGAAACAGGACTAAATCAGGAATAAACCACTTTCAGTCCCAGTCTGGGTCCCGCTCTGGTCCCGGTCTGGTCCCGGTCTCAGTCTCTCAGTCCAGGTCTCAGTCCAGGTCTCAGTCCAGGTCTCAGTCCCGGTCTCAGTCCAGGTCTCAGTTCCGGTCTGGTCCCGGTCTCAGTCCCGGCCTCAGTCCTGGTCCTGTTCCCGGTCTCAGTCCAGGTCTCAGTCCTGGTTTGGCCCCAGTCTGAGTCCTGGTCTCAGTCTCAGTCTGGTTTCAGTCTGGTGCCGGGCCTGGTTTAGTCCTGGTCCAGTCCAGCATCGCGGTTTAAGTCACAGAAACAGGAAATGTCAGGTTTTTTTTAATTTCTCATTTAAACACAAAACCGAAACCTGAAAAAACAAATCATTATCCGGTTTTTCATTTTGGTTTTTGAGAGAAATAATGTTTTTTTTTTTGGTTTTACATTGAAAAACAAATGAATGAATGATGCACATGGATTGCAGCTGTAATGACCTAAAGATAATCAATCCCAAACTATTAATTTCCTGAAGTAGAAGTACTTAAGATAATCATTGTTAAATTTCTTTCACCACCATTTCTGTTACTACTACTTGCCTACTGAGTGAGTTTACACGGAAATATAAATATAGGAATTGCACTTTTCCTCCATAAATTCCCTTGCTTTCCACCTTTACATAAGTGTGCCAGTTGGCCTCGAGTTCAGGGTTAAATGTAGTTTGGGATTAGTTTTTTTAAGCCTGGGATTACTTGGGAATTCTGCAAAAAGATTAGAGTAAGTGGAGTGGTAAAGAAGATGTGAAGGTGACTGGGACATGTTCAGAGCAGAATATTCACTTCAAAACAGCTGCACAGGTACAAGCACAGGTACATGTTAAAATTAAAAGACCTGTATTACACACGCTTACATCTTCAAATTTTAAAATGCTCTGCTGCACTTTGTGATGTCATGAAGTGGATCTTTTCAAGGTAACAACAACATTTTAATTTTAGACTACTGTATCGCCGTTTCAGAAATAATTTGCGTCCAGACATACCGTTTCTGTGTCCGCAATCCTTCCCTATCCACACAGCTTTGAGCATATTTGTTTACGTTTTACCGAAACAAAACTTAAAATCACATGGCTCATTTGCATAAACTGAGCGCTCAAAAAACAGCTCGCTCCTCGTGTCGCTGATGCGGTTCAGCTTCTGTCGGACTAAAGGACATGACTCGGTGGAATGTGAGTGTTCTTTCCGTGACAGAGGGGTGTTCTGCTGATGGTGAGTCTGTTCTGTGTTTCTGTCGCGTTGGAGATGGTTCATGTTAAACTTTTCAGAGATTATACGTCTGCAGGTCGTACGCACAGACCGTATATATGAATGGACATATATTCTAGCCTCTTAGTGTTTTGGTGGTGAATTACTTCGCGGCGCATTGACCTACATCAGCGTATCAACGTTTTCAGGCGTCGGATCAGATCCATACTCAAATGAAATCGTGGGAGCTGGCGGCACCAGATCGTTCCGTCTCTGGAGCCGTTTTCCATCGGATTAGTGTGAACGAAAACTGCATCCACAACGAAAACAACTCGAATACGAACTAGTGTGGACGGGGTGTTAGTTCAGTAGGGACAGTTCCAGGGCTGAAATCATGCGAATGATGCTAGTGAAGGTGTATGGGGTTTAAAAACACAGTGGAGCACTTCCTGTATTACCACATGACATCACAAGGCAGTACAGAGTGTTTTCTGTTTGAGAGAAAAACAGCGTAAATTGAATATGCAGGGTTTTTGTGTTAAACATGTGTGAATGAAACTAAATGCAACTCCAGGTCTGTTTGTGATAATGAAAAAACTTTATAACAGATCAGAAAATAGCGTAAAATGGGCCCTTTAAGTGAACTGTTGACCCTGTAGTTGGTGGAAAACTCTTGTCTACACTAAAACTAATCTTTTTCATGATTTGCACAAAGATAAAATATTAAAGAATAATTGAAGCTGCAGAATCAAGTTTGATTCATTATCAAATCCCCATGACTAATCACTGCACACTGTTGTCCTTGAGCAAGACTATAACTGTGAGTCAAACGTCTCAAAAAAAGGTTTGAACTGCTGACCTTGTAGTTGGTTGAAAAATCCTTAACACGCTACACCAGATTAGATCTTTATCACCACTGAAAATATCAAAAATATGCACAGAAGAAGCACAATTACTCTATTTTCTGAGCTATGTTATAATGTTGTTTCCTCATCACAAACAGACCTCAGGTTTTCCACTCTTTACACTGACAAAATTTCAAAACTCTTCCAGGACTTTTTCATGACCTAAAGTGAATTTTCCATGACTTTACAGCACCTACAAGTGTAGAATTGATCAGAGTTTTAGGGCTAAATATGAAATGTTAAAACTTTCCACTCACCTTATGGTTTGGTTTTACAGTTTTTTAACATTCAAAATTCTGTCAGTGCATTTGTTGTTGTTTCTTTAAAACAAAAGACACATATGTTTGGAAATAATCATAATAGTCTAATGAGAACTTAACAGAACGCTGTAGTTGGGTGAAAGAGATACTAAAATTCCATGACTTTTCAAGGCCTGGAAAACAACATTTTCAAGTTTCCATGACTTTTCCAGGATTTCCGTGACAGTGGGAACCTTGATACCTGGAGTTGTGTTTTGTTTCATTCACACATGTTTAACACACACATCCTGCATATTTAGGGCTGACTTTTTCTCTCAAACACTGTGTTCCACCTTGTGATGTCATATGGTAATACAGGAAGTGCTGCACTATGTTTTTAAACTCCATACATCTTCACTAGAATCATTTCGATAATTTCAGCCTTGGAATTTTGAATCTATTCTACACAAAGGTACTGCATATTTCGGACTATAAGGCGCACACTTAAAATCCTTTAATTTAGTCAAAAATAGACAGTGCACCTTATGTATTAATTCTGGTTGTGTTTACTGACCTCGAACCGATTTTATGTGGTACACGGTGCTCAAAAATCTGTCAAAATGTTTTAGTACAACTTTGGTAAACTGCAAAGCCACACCGCTTCATGGATTGTCAGAGCATTACGGCTACTGTACTCAGGAGCCTCGCAAAGTAATTTTTCAGCACTAATAGTTTATGCAAATGAGCCATGTGGTGTTAAGTTTCATTTCTGTAAAACGTAAACAAATGTGTGCAAAACTGCATTAAACACATTATTACTCAATGTGTATTTGAATTCTCCTCGTAGGAAATAAAAAAAAAACAAAAACTTAAATGATCCACCCACATTCACATTCATAACACACATTCACCAAGACAGGGAGGCAACGGCGAGCGAATTACGTCACGATCTGCCGATGGATCGTGGACGCTTGGGCTAAGGATCAGTCTCAAGTGTCGTCCGTTTGTTTCGCTTAAAGGTTGTATAGAGGATTTTCCAAGGAACGAGAAATCCAGCGACTGTTTGTCCTTTTTCAAATGTTGCGCATGCGTGAAACCACCCCCCTCCCCTACAGCTCCTACGTAGAAACGCCTCCTCCCGCCTCCTCCTTACGCCAGAAACCGGTGTGCTGCACATGACTTGTAAACAACTAACTACAGTGTTGGTTAGGCAAGGTGGAGAAGTGAGGAGCGGGGGGAGGGGGTGCGCGGATATTTCGTGTGCGGACGAGAAGTGAGGAGCAGGGAGAAGAACGGAGCAGGGAGTGAGGAGAGGAGAGAGGAGAGGAGAGGGGAGCGGTGCGTGGAGATTCTGTGAGGAGCAGGGAGAAGAGCGGAACGGGCAGAGGGGGGCGCAGAGATTCCATGCGAATGAACTAGCTACTACTACAACACGCAGCAGCAAGCGGACTCTTTCTTTGCCTTGAAAATGACGTTTTCAGACATAGGATATCGCTTTCGTGTCCTGAAAAACGTTTGTCTAGCTCTTGGAAATAAAGTACGTTTTCATAATAAGCAGAAGTGACTTGTCCAGGAGTAATTTGTGGACCAGTGCGTCAGTCTTTAGACCCTGCGTCTGCTTCAGTCGCGCCATCGCTGGAATGAATCTTCAAGAATCACCTTAGTTTGGTTTCGCTGCTTTTCCCCTTGTCTTCTTCTTTCAGCGACCTCAAAAACTGACTTTCTTTTGCGGCGAACTGCTCGTAGATTCTTGTCGCCATTGCAATAAACTTTGTGCGAACTGCGAGGAAGATATAGGTCAAAAAAGCCGCTAAGAACTGTTGCGTTGGTGGAGTAAACAGCTTCTGTGCGTCTGTGGACTGCGTGACAGGCGTACGTAAACCATGTAACGGCA